CATCAGGGTTTCCTCGAGCGGGTTGGGGTCTGGGTGCGATGCTGCCGCGTGCGCGCAGGCTCTGTGTGCAAGCCCTGCTGCAGTGGGACATGCAAACCCGCTTTCGGGGCACAAGGTCGGCGGGACATGAGCGGTGCTTCCCTCAGGCGAATCCACCGTGCTCAAGCTAAGCCCTGTTTTTGCACGCACACAATTCAGAGCAGCCTGTGCAAACCAATGGCCTCAGGCTGTCTTGGAGCCATCTGCAAACTGCATTTATTGCCGACTGGAAAACACGTGAAGGTAGCAAATCCCAGGTCTTAACTCGGCGTACGGTGATGTGAAACAACCTGTGCGTTCCCCTGACGCATGCCCTCGCGTGTGTCCCAGGAGAGGTGGCAAAGGGTGGCTACAGCTCGAGCCCGGAGGAGCCGGGACGGGCTTTGCCGTGGCTGGAGCCCGCCTGGGACGGGGGCATGCCAAGGTAGCGGGGTGGGATCACATCCTCTGCGCGAAGGGTTTCAAGATGCTGAGGTCTGGGAGCATGGGGTCCGGCGTTGTGAAATTCTCCATAAAGGAAAATTCTTCAAACATTTTTTTTTTTAGCTTTGGATTTATCAAAATGCCTTGTTCTGATTTTAGCTTTTTCCATTTTGAAGACGGTCCAAAGTCCTATCACAGTGTGTTACCGCACAGAATATAACATTTGCAAGGGTAAAACGAAAAGTCGGTTTGAACTGGAAGATCACGGCAATGTCATTAAAACAAAGGAAACGGGACATTCTGGTGTTGTCAAAACTTTTTTTGTCTGGTTCCTTTCAAAATCAGCTTCCAGCAAAACCAGCCTGATTTTATGAGGCATTTTTTTAGTTTTTGGCAGAGCCCCTCGCTCTGGCACAGCAGTTTTGTCGTGGTTTCTCTGGCTGGGCTCACACGCTCTGTGTCCCTGTTCCCGGGCGGTGAAATGGGGGTGCAGCGTGTCCCCCAGCCTTCGCTGCCCCTCGGCATCGAGTCAGCGGGGTCCCCTGGCTCAACCCCATTTGCAAGGCATTAAAATAACCTAAAAATTGAGCTGTTAAAGTATTATTTAAATGGCAATTATTCCTTTTGTGTTTTAATCTCTGCATCCTTCCCTTTGACCAGAAACGTATAAAATGCTAGAGAGAAAAAAAAAAAGCAGAAAATTCGGAGATTATTTTTCCTTACTGAAAACCCGGGGCGCAGCAGTCCTTGCCTGCAGGTTTAGGCTCTGCTGTCGCCTTCAACCGTGCTGGCGTGGACGCGATGGCAGCGCTGGCCCCTCTCCCCCCTCTCCCCGCTCCCTGGCCGCAGTTTTGGCTTTGGGAAGAGGTTGGTGCCGGTGCCCTTCCGGCCACCCACGGTCCTCCTGGGCCCAAGAGGATTTGGCTTTATATAGTACCTGGGAGATCCATGTCAGATAAGACTGGCAGGCTTTCAAAAGCTTCTCTCTAGCTTTTGTGCCAAGACCTATAGGATGCGTTCCAGAGCATCTCCCAGGAATGTCTGTTATTATGACAGGCAAAAAAAAAAAAGGAGGGGGGGAAAAAAGGCAGCGAAGGAGCACATTGCTGTTAATTACTAGAAATCCTTTAATAACCAACATTACTATAAATTATATGTGCATTATGACAAGTACAATTGAGTGCTCTGTTTTTCTTGCCCACGTTAGAGCACGGAACAATGTACTCTTGTTGCAAGAGCTGAAATGGATGGCACTCTGGGTGAAATCAGGACTTCTCCATCGCATACCTGCGCCCGCAGAGATGGTCGGCCGCCCCGGGTCCCATGAAAGCTCCATTGTTCGTCGTGCCATATTGCAGGCACCGTGATTACATAGTGTTGGATAAGCAGTAATATGTTGCTTGCTGAAATAATAACCTATCCTTAGTTTGAACAGTGCTATATTTAAGATTTATATATATTTAAATGTTGGTAATTGCACATTTGTGGCATATTATAATTCGGATGACAGTTTGTAAATACGATATTGGAAAGAAAAGCATCAGCTGCATTTAGGGAGGTAAATCTTGGGGTCACGCAGGACAGGTTGATCGATGTGGATTTTAAACAAGCGTTGGAACCTCTCTGGAGCAGACTGGGGATGGGCAGGGATCCTGCCCGGGTCCGAGATCCAGGAAATCCCAATTTCTGCTTCCACGTCTGAAGCTGCATCTTTTTTGCAGCCCTTCCATGCGTTTTAACTGGTCTTTATTCCCTAACGTGAAAAAAGGCTAATAGCATTTTCCTACCACAGTGGGATGTCGGCTGACTTTTGTGAATAGCTCTGAAGCGTGGTGTGGATGTAAAATACCGCTGCTCTGCAGGTCGGTGAGAACGCTGGGGTTCAGCATGGCCATCACGGTGCATTATTTCCATGCAAAGTGAGTCAGTACCCAAATAACATCACCTGGTTTTATTCCCGGTTTGGATTCTACATAGGGAAGGAGCCGATCGGAGGAGGACGGCGCCGCACGGGACCATCAACCCCCTGTCCGTAGCAGTTAGGAAACCCAATGGCAGAGGCAGCAGGTCCCTTACAGGATTTATATGATTTTTTTTTTACATTGCATTTTTAAGAAGGCAAACTGCGTATTTCCTAAAACCCACCCAAAAAGGGCAGGGGAAAAGGAGCTTTGCCCCTGATCCTGCAGGTCAGTAGGTGCACAAGTAACGCCAGAGTCAAAATTGCTGTTTACATACTGTAATTGTTGGTGCCAACCTTAGTGGCACACAGCTATTGATTTTAAATGGAGTATTTTGGCATCCCTTACGTTAAGCTGACACATGCAAACTAAGGTTGCCATAAAAAAAATTGTACAAACTTAACCGAGTGCATTTAAATCATGTTCTTAGGTGCATTAGTGCAGGTTTGGGGAAATGTGGACACAAACCTTCAGTTACGGCATGAGCTACCCAAAGACGCCAAGAGACAAACTATGAACGTTCAGGTTGCCTACAGTTTGTTGGTTGAAATACTTTTATTGTTTTGGGTTGGCTTTTTTTTCCCCCCCCCTAGCTGGTCAACTGCTGGGGAATAAATTGCCAGGATTTATTTTTGCTCATTACTGAAGCTCCCGGGTCGGTTCTCAGGCTGATCCTGCAGACAAAGCTCCTTTGCTTTCGGGTCCCGCTGATCCGGACGAAGCCGCTGCCCACGGGCGAGGGGAACGTCCCGTCCCGTCCCGTCCCGTCCCCGGCCCGCGGTGCGGTGCGGTGCGGCGCGGTGCGGTGCGGGGGAGCGGAGCCCCTGGGAGCGGGGCCGGTTGCGGGAGGCGCCTC